TGCCAGTCATTTCCGCCAATTCCATGTAGTCCATCAACTTCATCTGCCATTCTTCCCGGGTGGGTAAATCTTGTGTCTTCCAATACTTCGCGATGAGTATTCTTGCTGCTGTTGTAGCATACATTAAAAAAGTTCTATCCTTCTTTGGCACCAATTGGCCGACCACGCCCAGGAGAAAGGCCTCTGGTTTCTTCAGAAAGGTATATTTAAATACCTTTTTCATTTCATTATAAATCATCTCCCAGAATGTCTTAATCCTTGGGCATGTCCACCAAAGGTGAAAGAATGTGCCTTCAATCTCGTTACATTTCCAACATTTATTTTCGGGCAAGTGGTAAATTTTTGCAAGCTTGACTGGTGTCATGTACCACCTATAAATCATTTTCATTAAGTTTTCTCTTAGGGCATTACATGCCGTAAATTTCATACCTGTGGTCCATAACTGTTCCCAGTCAGCCATCATTATATTATGTCCGACATCTTGTGCCCATTTAATCATGGCTGATTTCACCGTTTCATCCTGGGTGTTCCATTTCAACAGCAAGTTATACATTCTTGACAAATTCTTGATTTTGGAATCTAACAGTTCTGTTTCCAATTTTGATTTTTCCACCTGGAAACCAACTTTTTTGTCCAAATTATATGCCTCCATTATTTGATAATAATGGAGCCAATCTCGCACTTTATTTTTCAATTTTTCAAAGCTCTGCAATTTTAGTCTGTCTCCCTCTTGTTCCAGAATTTCCCAATATTTCTGCCATTTGGCCTCCATATTGAGTTTTTTCTCTGCCTTCGCTTCCATTGGTGACAACCATCTTGGGGTTTTCTTTTCTAACAAATCTTTATATCTTATCCATACATTAAACAATGCTTTTCTAACAATATGATTTTTAAATGCTTTATGTGTTTTCACCTTATCATACCACAGATATGCATGCCAACCAAATATGTTGTTAAAACCTTCTAGGTCCAACACATCAGTGTCTTCAAGTAGCAGCCATTCTCTCAGCCAACAAAAAGCAGCTGATTCAGAATGGAGTTTTAGGTCTGGCAGGGCAAATCCACCTCTTTCTTTAGCATCAGTTAATATCTTAAATTTTATTTGAGGCTTCTTGCCCTGCCAGACAAATCTCGAAATATCTTTCTGCCACTTCTTAAAACAATCCATCTTATCCAAAATTTGTAATGTTTGAAACAAGAACAACATCCTTGGCAGCACATTCATTTTTATCACTGCAATTCGGCCTAATAATGATAACTTCAAATTTGACCATATTTCTAAATCTTTTTTCACTTCAATCCAACATTTTTCATAATTATCCTTAAATAAATTTACATTTTTAGCAGTCATATTAACCCCTAAATATTTCACTTTCTTAACCAATGTTAATCCTGTCTCTTCCTGAAATTTGTCTCTCTCATTTACAGTTAAGTTTTTCTCTAAGACCTTAGTTTTTATCTTGTTCAGCTTAAAACCTGCCACTTGCCCAAATTCTTGACTCAATTCCAATACCCTCTTTGTGCTAGATTCTGGTTCCTGTAGAGTCAATACTAGATCATCAGCAAATGCTTTCAATTTATACTGTTTAACTCCCACTTGTATACCTTTAATCTCTTGATCCTTTCTTATCATGTTTAGCAAAACCTCAAGGACTGAAATAAAAAGCAGTGGGGAAATTGGGCAACCTTGTCGTGTCCCTTTCTCAATCTTGAATTCCCGGTTTCGAATCTTCCGTTCCTGGGTAAGGTGATTGAGCGAGCGGTTGCTGAACAGCTTGGTGGGTTTCTGGATGAAACATCGGCTCTGGATCCATTCCAGTCCGGCTTCTGCGCTGGTCATGGGGCCGAGACGGCTCTAGTCGCCCTAACAGATGATTTCCGCAGGCAGCTGTATCGAGGCGGGTCAGGGCTGCTGATTCTTCTAGACCTGTCAGCAGCCTTCGACATGGTCAATCACGAACTCCTGGACCACCGCCTTGCTAACGTGGGGATCCAGGGCACAGTCCTTCAGTGGCTGCGCTCATTTCTCTCTGGTTGGGGACAGAGGGTGGCGCTTGGGGGGGGGGATTGTCATCGCGCCACTCCTTGGTGTGTGGAGTGCCTCAGGGTGCAATACTCTCCCCAATGCTTTCCAACATCTTTATGCGCCCCCTCGCCCAGCTTGTCCGGAGTTTGGGGTTGGGCTGCCATCAGTACACTGATGACACCCAACTCTGTTGATGGATGGCCATCCTGACTCGGCCCCAGACACACTGATCAGATGTTTGGAAGCTGTGGCTGGATGGTTACATGGGAACCGGTTGAAGTTAAATCCTTCGAAGACAGAGGTCCTTTGGCTGGGTTGGGACAATATGGGGTTGGGGGGGGCAACTCCCATCTCTTGCAGGGGCGCAATTAGTGCCAGCACCGTCCGTTAAGAGTTTGGGTGTAATCTTCGACACCTCCCTTTCCATGGAGGCGCAGATTGCAGCTATAACAAAGGCGGCATTTTTTCATCTCCGCCAAGCTAAGCAGTTGGCTCCTTACCTCTCTCGACCTGACCTAGCCACTGTGATTCACGCGACGGTCACCTCCAGACTGGATTATTGTAACTCGCTCTACGTGGGGCTGCCCTTGAGACTGACCCAGAAACTCCAGCGGGTGCAGAATGCCGCGGCGAGACTCCTTATGGGGTCCTTGCTGCGAGATCACATTCACCCAGTGCTATACCAGCCGCACTGGCTCCCGGTGGAGTACAGGATCAGGTTTAAGGTGCTGGTTTTAACCTTCATAGCCCTATACGGCCTAGGACCCTCGTACCTACGGGACCGCCTCTCCTGGTATGCCCCACAGAGAAACTTACGGTCTGCAAATAAAAACATCCTGAAGGTCCCAGGCCACAGAGAGGTTAGGCTGGCCTCAACTAGAGCCAGGGCTTTCTCGGCTGCGGCTCCAATCGGCTCTGTCACAAGAGACTAGGGCCCTGCGGGACCTGACATCTTTCCGCAGGGCCTGCAAGACAGAGTTGTTCCACCAGGTCTTTGGTCAGGGCGCAGCCTGACCCCGTCCTCTGGCAATCTGCACAGAATTTTGCTAAATGGTTGCCATCAATTTGATTTTAATTAATTTTATAATGAAATGTTTTTAGATTGTTGGATTATTTGATTGTTGTTAGCCGCCCTGAGCCCGGCTTTGGCTGGGGAGGGCGGGATCTAAATAAAATTTATTATTATTATTATTATTATTATTATTATTATTATTATTATTATTTTGTGAAGTGCCCTGAGATCTACAGGTAGATGGAGGTACACAGTTTTAATAAATAAGGCTCCAAAAGCAAAGTTATCGTGTTTAAGAACTGGTAAAACAGAGGTTTGGTTTTTTTGGTGCTGGTGGGTGGAAAATATCCATTTCCATTTGGTTTAATTATATATATATATATATATATATATAAATAAAATACTTAGGTATTGCAAAAGAGTGACATTTCTCTATATAGATTTGTTTGATTTGCTGGGGTGGGGGTGGAGTAATACACAGAAACAGTAGGAATGCCTTATAGGTGCTCATAGCCATGAACAGCAAAATCATGCATTGCTCCCTACAAAAACCTGAAACATTCCAAAATTTCGAAGAGGTTTTGCACAAGGCCACTGTTTTCATTCAAAGGAAAAAGATAAATTTCAATGTACGTGCTCACTATTTACAGTGCAGTGATTTTAATATCTAGCTCCTTCCAAGCGGGTTGTTTAAACATGTAGCAGTTGGAATAGGGAATAGAGGCACTTTGTTTGGTATTGGGGGAGCCACCCAAAGCAAAATGGCTGAATCATGCTCAGGGGAGGAGTCAATGGACATTTGGCATTAGAGAACTCTTACCCAAACATCACCACACACATGGCAAACCACCTGCCCCCAAAAACCTAGATGCTAATGAGTTTTCACATGAGTGGTGACTGTCAATATTTTTCTACTTATCACATGTTCTGTGGTAAGGGGAAATCCATATTAAATGTGAAAAAGTAGGAGCTGGTATTTTGATGATGACATCATGTGGACGCCATAAAAAAGGAGTGTGTGAGAGAGCGTCATGCCAATTCTACAATGAACTACTTCTGGAAGAACTCTCAGGCTCTCTCTCTGGTGTGAAATCTGCTTCTTCCTCATGGTGCAATCTGATGCCGCTGACAAATTGTTTTAGAAAAGTGATTAAGTTCTGCCTGGTCCTCCAGTTCTTCAGCTGCATCGAGGACACACCAGGCAGGAAGCTAAAGAAGAACTTTATTAGCACTTTCCCAAAAGGCCAGGAGCAGGAATCTCCCAGTTCCACCCAGATACAACTAGGTCCAGGGCAACCCAGTGACCAAAGTACACACACATATCTAAATGGAAATTGGGGCACGGCCCTAGCCTAAGTAAGAGGGGAAAGCTGCAGCAAGGCAGGGGCATGTCCACATTAGTGGGGCAGGATGCGGTTTGCCCACTGTCTGCCCACACTAGCAGGTTGAGAGGAGGCATGGATGTCTTCAGGCTTATATTTTCAGATCAGATCAACACATCAAAACAAAGTATTTCTCAAGAAACTACTGGATAGGTGTCAATTGTGACCAGCGCTGTGAATACAGGGCTTCTTCACAAGTCAGCAGTGGGAGTGCAATGAATGCAGAGTACTGTAAATGTGAATGTGTACTTTGTAGCTCTTAGGAAAGGTTTGATTCCTATGGAAACGATCATTCCCATAGCCAAGTACTGTTTACTCTGACTGCCAATAGCTATGCACTGTCATGCTTTCCCCCAGCCTTGCCGTGTGATCTCTTCTTAACTGGAGATGGGACCTTCTAGATTCAAAGCACCTGATCAACCCCACCCCCGCCCGTTGCTGGTTGATTTTTCTATATGTTTAATTCAAGCAATACTTACCTTACACACAAGCAAATGTGCTGCCCTCCTCACACTCTCCCTTGCACTGTGCAAAATAAAACAAACAGAAATATAAATGACACCCCCCACCCCAAAGAACCCCAATTATTTAGGACATTTATTTACTATAGAGGACAAAAGAGACTCAAGAAAGAGCATGCACTCTTGGATCCTTTCCCACCATGAAACTTGGCAACTGTCTCCCACTTTTGGCTTCCTGCAGCTTTCCTTTCCTTCGGAACTGGAGTCTTCACATGGGACACATTCGTCCATCTCAATCTCTTCTTGGTCATCTGATTCCTCTTTCCATAGCTCAGCTCGGTGCTCTGGTCTTTGACATGCGCCACTCTTCAGCCCGCAGTTGTCATCTTCCTGTACGGATGGCACTTGGACACAAGGACTCCTGTTTTTCCATTTATTGCATGGCTGCTGGACCTCATTTTCTAACTCTATGCCATCTTCATTATCCAGAAATATATTTAAAGGTACATTTAGGTGGATGTCTATAGGGACGATTCTGCGCTTCTTCAGGCTGGGCTGTTCAGTAGAGCTGCATTTGACAGTTGCTTTGCATGTAACTCCTGCATTGCTTTTTCTTCTATGCTTTTGCCTTCTCTTTCCTCTTGAACATTTTGCTTTCTGGAAAGCAGTGGGTGACGCACATATCTGCCCGCAGGAGCTGCTACAACAAGATGAGGTGGGGCTCTTACATCTGTCTTTGCTGCTTTTGTTACTCCTTGAGAGGGAGCATAAAGACTCCTCAGACTCGTATACCTTTTTAGTTTTGGTCCAAGCAAAAGGTGAAGAAGGATCTTCACACTCCCTTCGCTGCTCCTCTGATCTTTCTCTCTTTCTGCTACAAGATGTTGATGGGGCTGCAAAACCAGGCGTTTCTTCACATCTGCTTTTGCATGTGATCTTGTATGTACACTGGTTCTTCCTGGGGCACTTGCGCTTACATGGAGGTGAACAGATGCGGGCATCTTGTGGGACTTTGATTTGAACTGGTATGCGGTAGCTCTGTGTGATGAATTCGGCCATAGAATAGGTGACCCCTATCTTCTTGGACAGCTGCCTGGGGGTGAGGCCCAAATCCTGCCACCTGGTCTTGTTGATGTTCATTCTACTGTTCCTTTCCAGCTACCCCATCTTTATGCCCACCCTTGCTCTCCAGAGCTTGCAGTGGTCCTTGGGGAGCAGGGGTTCTGTGACATCAGTAGCTACAGAGCTGATGTCATAAGCATGACTGCACCTTAGGTTAGCGTATGTGTCACATACGAGTCATTTTTGTTTTAAATAGCCTCTTGCGGTAAAAGAGAAATCCTTCATTTAAGTAGTTCTTGATTCTTGACATTGCAGGCAACACATCTGCAAGAATGTTTATGGATCAGCAGCATTCTGGCAGTCCAAGAGCAAATGTAGGAACCAAGTTTACCTATCATTCCCTTCTGTTTTGTGATCCCAGGACAGGCTCACTCTGGTGCCCTCCCCCAGCCAAGGAACGAGGGCCTCCGAGAGGCTGCTTCCCTGGAAGAACATAACAGCAAGGGGTTGACCTACCCAAATGAATCTATTGGCCAGAGGAGGATCTTGCTTCCACCACCCTGCTTCAAAGAACATTTGGGCTCCAGCTGCCATTTGCTATGGGACAAATAGTGAATCCTTTCCCTTTTAGTTGTAACTGAATTAACTGTGAGTCAGAACTTATCTGTTGTTTTAATGAATTAATATCCTGCTTTGCAAACAGTCATCAGAGTGGTTTACAGCACAGGGGCGAATTTTGGTACTCTTTGGTAATATGGCCCTGTGAGTGTGGCCAAAATTTGGCAGCCCCAAATGGATTTCAGTTACGGGTCTTCTAAATTTTATTGTTGTTGTTTAGTCGTGTCCGACTCTTCATGACCCCATGGACCAGAGCACGCCAGGCCCTCCTGTCTTCCACTGCCTCCCGCAGTTTGGTCAGACTTGAGAACACTGTCCAACCATCTCATCCTCTGTTGTCCCCTTCTCCTTGTAGCCTCCATCTTTCCCAACATCAGGGTCTTTTCTAGGGAGTCTTCTCTTCTCATGAGGTGGCCAAAGTCTTGGAGCCTCGGCTTCAGGATCTGTCCTTCCAGTGAGCACTCAGGGCTGATTTCCTTCAGGATAGATTGGTTTGATCTTTTTGCTGTCCATGGTCTCCTCCAGCACCACAATTCAAAAGCATCAATTCTTCGGCGACCAGCCTTTTTTATGGTCAGCAGAGCTAAATTTTATACCCCCTCATATTGGCATCCTGTGTGGGGGAAACCACCTGCACCGCCCTAAATCTGGCACTATCCAGCCTCACTGTCCATGTGCAACTAGCTCCACTGCAGCAGGAGTTGCCATTGGATGTTACTTCCCAGCAGGTCACCTGGTGTTATAAGGCCTTGTGGAGCAGGTGCTTGCTGCTGCCAGAACAGAGCAGGCGGATACATGATGAGTCAAACCTGTGTTCCATTTAACTCAGTATCATCTAGAGCAGGGTTTCCCAAACTTGTTGGACTACAAGTCCCATCAACCCTAGCTAGCAGTGGCTCTCAATAATTTTAGACAGGGGACATTCCCAGCTCTACCTTGAGGTGCTGGCAAGTGAAACTGGGACCTTCTGCATGTTGCTACAGAGCTTCCCATGTCCTCACCTCCCTCCTGTGACAGTGAAGTTGGTTATTAGTTATCATGCCAATAGCAGCTAAAATGTGTAGACAACAATAAGGAACGGGATCAGCGCACACTACGTTAAGTGTTGGACCACCACAAATGATATTCCAGGAGATAATCCTCTATGATATGGATGACATCTGGCCCAATGCTTGTTTTGGGTACAACATACTGTCAACAACATGTATCCAGGCCATTAATCACCAAAATATATGGAAAAGGAATAAGCAACTGGGGCTCTGCTCCCAGAATAAACATTAGACCACAACAAATGATAGTTTTATGAGAATACCCTGAAATAGCATTGAATCTTGTTTGACCCAAAGCTTGACACAAGACACTGTGCTTATGTGTCCATGCCAACAGCCAAAATATGTAGAAAAGAATGAGGATATGTGAGTATTAACCCCACAATTTGCATGCCCAATGAAATGAATGAGAACTGCACCGGTAGCTGCCAATTCATCAATGAGGCATAAGGAGAACATTCTGGTAGATGGTGACCTGTGTTGGTCAACACCAAAGCATCTCAAGTGCTGGATAACTGAGATTCAAACTTAATAGCTGTGTCATGAGTATCACTGCAAATACTTCCCAGCATCATTTATTATTGGGCTCATCCCCATTACACAGAGTCTTCACACTAGCTTAAGCCGCTTCCAGGAACATGTGATGTGAAGACTCCATGCAGTAACTGGCTTCCACACTGCAGCATCTGTTTGGAGCTGCCTCTGGGCATTTTCTGTGGCCCTCGTGTGGCTGCTGCCGCATAGGAAGTAGTCCTTTTACAGTACTACTTTTAGATGTAAGGAGTTACTTACTAGCGAGCCATAGGAGGTAGCAGGGAATTCATTATTTGTTCCCCATAATGCTTTCATGTGACCTCCAATTATGATTTTACTCCTTTGGGGACAAACGACTGGAATCAATCCTACTCTTGCTCCCTTGGCCCCAGGCCAGATGATGGGAGCTATACCCTTCTCACTCATATTTTGTTCAAGTTAAAAGCTCCCTTTTCTTCTTCATCTCATTTATCACACAGATTGCCATAACTTGCCTCTGTTGGCATTGCTGCAGCCCAATGAATGTAGGAGCAAGTTCACAGCTGGACTTTGAATGTGTATAACCCGAAGTGACTACTTGAGCCACTGTGATGGAGTGCAGTGCTGGACTAAAACCAACCAGCTAGGGTACAATTTTTGTTTAGCCATGAGACTCCAATGACTGTGCGCCAGTCAGTCACCTGCTCTCAGCATCATTTAGTTCACAGGTTGTGTGAAGAAGTGAACTGAGTGTTTTCTCATGCTGACATATTCTTGGTGGTACTTGCAATGTGAGAATGTTCATGCTTTTAGTGCAGTGAATCCCTTCCTTGGGGTCCCAGGAAACCTCCAACACCCACCGTCCTTTTGTTGAACTTTCCATCTGCAAAGAAGGGCTGGCTGGCTTTTCCTCAAAGGGAAGGAAAAATGGCCAGGTTAGTCACCTGTACTAATAACTCTAAGTCAATGCACACCTGTGCAAAAAAGAAAAGATGGTAATGGGTGAGGTCCAGAGACCAGGAGACTCTGGTGAAATGCTCTTCTGGGCCATGGCCTTCTTGCAGGGCCTTGGGAAAGAGTTCCTCTTTTCTGAAAGACTTCATAAGAAGATGAGTGAAATAAGGGCCACAATCCCAAACAGCTGAATGAACTGGTATAGGATTGGGCACAGTTAGCGAGCGCTATTTTGAACACCTTTTCTACAGCTGCTCAGCAAAATGGTCAAGTCTGCATTCCATTTAAAAACCAGTTGCAGTAAAAGTTCTCAAGTAATGTATGCTTTTCTGCTGGCCAAATATCTGGCTTACAGAATTGTGAAAAAGGACTGTGGAACATTCTACCATTCATGGTTCCATGCAGATACATTTACAGTCATCTAAAAGTAGCTTGGGCATTCATCCCCCCAAGATTCAGACAATGAATTCCACAGAAATTAGGAGAGTTGAAAGTACAGGCCCCAAAAAGAATCTGCAGCTAATCTGATGCCTGAGCTGAGGACATTGAGAGTTCACGGCATCTACTTCCAGTGTCAGAGGAAGTAGGCCTCCAAATCCAACTTGCTGGGGATCACAAGTGGGGAGAGCGCACTTGCACTTCGGTCCTGTTTCTAGGCTTTTCACTTGGCCACTGTGAGAAAAGGATGATGGACTAGATGGGTCTTTGGCCTAATCAGGAAGCGCTCTTATTTATGTTCCCACTTGAGCAGGAAGTGAATGGCAGGAATAATGAACAGGAAACCATAGAATCATAGAATCATAGAGTTGGAAGAGACCACAAGGGCCATCGAGTCCAACCCCCTGCCAAGCAGGAAACACCATCAGAGCACTCCTGACATATGGTTGTCAAGCCTCTGCTTAAAGACCTCCAAAGAAGGAGACTCCACCACACTCCTTGGCAGCAAATTCCACTGTCGAACAGCTCTTACTGTCAGGAAGTTCTTCCTAATGTTTAGGTGGAATCTTCTTTCTTGTAGTTTGGATCCATTGCTCCGTGTCCGCTTCTCTGGAGCAGCAGAAAACAACCTTTCTTCCTCCTCTATGTGACATCCTTTTATATATTTGAATATGGCTATCATATCACCCCTTAACCTCCTCTTCTCCAGGCTAAACATGCCCAGCTCCCTTAGCCGTTCCTCATAAGGCATCGTTTCCAGGCCTTTGACCATTTTGGTTGCCCTCCTCTGGACACGTTCCAGTTTGTCAATGTCCTTCTTGAACTGTGGTGCCCAGAACTGGACACAGTACTCCAGGTGAGGTCTGAGCAGAGCAGAATACAGTGGCACTATTACTTCCCTTGATCTAGATGCTATACTCCTATTGATGCAGCCCAGCATTGCATTGGCTTTTTTAGCTGCCGCGTCACACTGTTGGCTCATGTCAAGTTTGTGGTCAACCAAGACTCCTAGATCCTTTTCACATGTACTGCTCTCAAGCCAGAAGGGAAGGTGATCACTAGAGAAAAAACAAACCATCCCAAAAGGAAAGTGCAGCTGGAATGGGGGAAAAGAAAGAAATGGCCAAAACCCCATTTGAAACAGCTCCAGAAAGAGAGTTGCACAGAACCAGAACGCAAAAGGAACCCATGAAAATAAAGATTCACAAGGTAATTTCAGGAATTCTGGTTGTAGTACTTTCCCTTTTTGTAGGTCTGGACAAGTGGGGACTGCAAGTTCTGCTTTTATTCCAATTAAAAATTTAATTTAAAAATAAAAAAGTTAATGAAGGAGCAAGAAGTTTTCAAGTTACATTTTTCTTGGTAATGGAATATTTTTTTAAAAAAATCTCAAATAGTAAACGTTTAAAGAGGCTGTTGTGCATCTCTTGAGAAGTACTAGAAAGAGTGTTTATTACATCATTACAACAGATAAGACAGCTTCTGCAAGCATGGCAGTCCCTCCACTGCATTTGGGTCTGTATAGTCAGACACTTTGCTGGTCAACCTGCTTTATAGAGTTTATAAAG